TTACATCGCTGTAATAGCAAGCAATAAATATACTCCAAAACTGTTACATCGCTGTAATAGCAAGCAATAAATATACTCCAAAACTGTTACATCGCTGTAATAGCAAGCAATAAATATACTCCAAATCTGTTACATCGCTGTAATAGCAAGCAATAAATATACTCCAAAACTGTTACAATAAATCAGGATGTGTACATACATGAGAAACGCGCCAATTACTATAAATGAAGAGTAAGATAGAATAAAAGTAAATAATTTATTTTTCGTCCTTCTAGTGATACTGCATCATACAGCTGTTTCGTCCTTCTAGTGATACTGCATCATACAGTTGTTTTGTCCTTATAGGACTCGTCAGTGATACTACATCATACAGCCGTTTCGTCCTCCTATGACTCGTCAGTGATACTGCATCATACAGCTGTTTCGTCCTTATAGGACTCGTCAGTGATACTGCATCATACAGCTGTTTCGTCCTTCTAGTGATACTGCATCATACAGCTGTTTCGTCCTTATAGGACTCGTCAGTGATACTGCATCATACAGCTGTTTCGTCCTTATAGGACTCGTCAGTGATACTGCATCATACAGCTGTTTCGTCCTTATAGGACTCGTCAGTGATACTGCATCATACAGCTGTTTCGTCCTTATAGGACTCGTCAGTGATACTGCATCATACAGTTGTTTCGTCCTTATAGGACTCGTCTGTGATACTGCATCATACAGCTGTTTCGTCCTTCTAGTGATACTGCATCATACAGCTGTTTCGTCCTTATAGGACTCGTCTGTGATACTGCATCATACAGTTGTTTCGTCCTTATAGGACTCGTCAGTGATACTGCATCATACAGTTGTTTCGTCTTTCTAGGACTCGTTATTGATTGTATATAGTTTAAATGCTAGGATGATGAAAATCCAGGGCGATAACAAACAAATATCAATATCACGACGTAGAGATGCACTTGACTGATATCATAACAAATGCCTTACATATCACAATTAAGATGTAAGGTTTTTGACTTACAAACGACGATATACAGCCCACGTCATACATCACATGTCCACTAAGAGTAACATATTGTGATGTCATGCATTCCTGAAAAAAAAATACAATTATGAAAAATCAAGATAACGGCAATTCCCCACTTCGCAACATAGTACGTGTTAAAATATCTACGATGTCTCAAATTTACCACTGTACAGAAGACACACAATAGAAAATGTTGAAAGATTGAAAACAAGAAACTATATCTGATAGAGATGAGTAGCTCAAAAACTATAATTCACCTCGTGATCTCCACATCTGGTCACGTGATCACAATGTCTGGGGTCGGATACATGTGTACATGAACCGCATAGTGGACCTCCCTCTGAAAATCATCAAAAATTCGAAAAATGATTTCTTATCATATGCATTTCAGGTTTTAACACCCGATTTTATTTACAACGTTCTACCTCGGGTGGTGGTGTTGCGCAGTTCACCTTTCACCTAGCAGTCCAGGGTTCGATTCCCGAAACAAACTTGACTGAAAGGAATGCGGTCACTTGTTCGACCACGTGGGTTTTCCCCCGGATACTCCTATTTCCTCCACAGAATATCCCCCTCGCGCTTTTATCCGCGTCAAAAAGAGTTATTGATATAAGCATACAGTTTGTTTAATAATTGTTTTAAAATAGACAAAGTTTGTATTATTTGTATATTAAACGGTTTTATACATGCTTATCTGAATTTGTTTACATTTTGCTCGTACTAATACAAGATGTAAACTTTACAACAAATGTGAAAAAACCTATTTCAGCTTATATTATTAATCACTCTTGTTGGCTCGAATTTGAGAGCTCGAGGGGTCTTATTGTAAGAGGAAACCGCAGTACTGTAGAAAAACTAACGTGGTCGGGCAGGCGATCCCTTACCTTTTCACTTCCGTTCCGGGAATCGAACCCTGGACGCCTGAGTGAAGGGCGAGGATGTTAACCACTCAGATATACTCAAATGTGTCGAGATACCGTTAGTTTGTACAACAACGATATTCCTACACGTAAACAACGACTGACAGATCCGCCAGAAGTTCCGTCAGTCATAGGGCCAATGTTTAGTTTATGTTACCATGTAACGAATAACAGGTACTTCCAGATCAGTTGTCTTTTCTGAAGTTCCTGAAAAAATCATTATTTGTACTAAACATGATCAAACGAAAATTATGATCATATTTTTCTGTATGTTTTGCAGATTCCACCGAGATCATAACTTACCTGATAACTGAATTGCTCCGAAAACACAAACCAAAAGTATCAAGCTAGGAAAAAAGAAAAAAAAAAAAAACAGACAAAATTTGATATGAAATCATATACATACAGATACACTGCTAAATCTCAAATACTTAAATGAAAACAATATTTAAGATGATCCAGCTTAAGTTGAGATATAAGTTGAAATTTCCCAGACACAATATGCTCCACTCATTTGTATAGTAAAAATTTTTTCCCACACTGTGTAATATTGGTCTGTCCAGGGCAATACACACAGGTTCGTTGTTCTTGCATTACACAACCACCCAAGCAATAAAGTCACGCATGCGTATAAATGTGACGGATACCTTCCAAACTGACGTCATCGCCTTGTACATTGTATATACATGTGTGTACCTATACTTATTTGCAGAAACTGTTTGTATTTTGTTTTAATTTTTTTATGTTTGCCAAATCTGGTTACGAAAAAATGTTTTCTGTGCCAATTGGTCGATTAATTGGGTAATAAAGATAAGATTTGTGTGTGAATGGCAGCCTTGATCGTATATTGTTGAATTACAAACTACAGTGTTAGATGTAGATTGATTTACCTCATTACATTTACATATGATTCATTATCTATATTGCAGATTTATAAACTTATCAAACTTTTCCTTCTGATAGACATAAATATGTGATCCTATTCACACACAAAAATTATAACATTGATACACCAACCGTTCTACACCTGATATCACACCAACTCTCTTCTATCCTTCTCTATGGGTCTGCCACTCTTGATAGCAAAACAAATACTAAAATATTCGACTCTGTCTTAGAGTACATTAAAGCAACTAATAGATTCCAGTGAATCTATTGGTTGCACCCCTCCCCCTTTTTTCCTCTTCCCTCTCTCACGTAACCCGATCATCTAAATATTTCTCCTATTGTCACACACGTATGTGAATACTTGAGATGTGTGAGCAGGTGCAAGTGAACATGAGTGTTAATGTGTATGTGATTGAGAATATGTGTGTATGCGTGAGTGTAACAGTATTGTGTCTGTTATTAATATTCTTTATCGTTTGGTGCATGTCCTACAAATGTATTACGTTGTACGCTTTAATGTTAAATGTGACGAAAGTGACTCGTAGCCGTAAGGCTGTTCACAATCCTCGTTAAACAAATAAAAAATTAAATTCGAATTAAGTTGATACAGAAAGAAACCAAAATGTCATCCGGCAGTTAACCCATTGTAAAGTGGCAAACGTTCTCAGACTAAATATGTTACCTTAAATGCAAACTTACGTCACTCAGGTAATTTACATAAGTGCTTATCCGAATTCATTTTACTTCAAAATGACAGCTGCAAGTGCCATACTGTAAACATTAAGAACTTTTATAAAGACAAAATCCGCTAAGGTATTCAATTTGTGTTAATGAAATCACTCTGAATGTACGTTACCTTCCTATGTATGTGGGTTCCATGTTAGACACCGATAAAGATAGCACCGAAGTCGTATGAAAGATAACAATAAAATGGACCACAGTAAAATAATGATCACAAACTGATTTCTACTGTCTATGTAGTAACGACTTTAAAACGTCACTGTTTATAAAATATACAAATATATTATAATTGCTTTTCAAAATTGACTTGGCTTTTTTTGACAATATTTAATTAATATTTGGTTTGTAATTTTAAAGATGGGAAACCAGCAAATATCTAATTTTGTAAATGTATTAAACTTGCATTAGTAGAGATATTTAAAAATTAACGATATCAGTTAATGCTTGGAAGGCCGTAGAGTGAGACTATAAAAATAGCTTACAATTCTTATCTTTTAGTATGACCTACTTAGATAACACTATGGGAATTTACACATGGTGATTTCTATCTGCCAAACTTTTTCTCCACACAAACAAACAGATATCATCGTTTACAATAATTTTCAGCTCTTCATAATCATTTGCTTTTAAAACGACCTGTACTATTGGGGATCATTTCATCTTGGTGCAAAAGATTTTTGAAGCAATTTCAAGTTAATGATATATAAGATACGTTTAGTCCTAGAGTCAAGCATTCACTTTCATATTTTTCTATTTAAGGTTAAGTTTCAAAATGTCCGCCATTGACAATAACTAATTAAAAGTGAATTTCTCGAAGCATTAATAATTTTCAAAAGGTTATTTTTTACATTTTATTGTGTATTTATTTTAAATTTAACGTATATTATGTAAAATATTAGCTGTGAATGAGATATATATATATATATATATCTTACAATGTAAACGGATATGACGACAAATAGAAAACGGATTCTAAGGGATGGGAGGGAAGGGGGCGTGGTGGTTAGTTTTTTACAGGATGGATGTCAGTCTCGATATTGTCTGTAGCTTTGATGCGGAAAATGACTTTTTCAATTGAGAATTAGTGGAGAATCTAGCAAGCATCAGCGACACGTTATCGGTTGTGTCACGGTTCCTACAGCTTATTTTTCCCCTATGCTCGTTACTTTACATATTGAATGACTGATATGATGTGAATTAGGTTTCGATGACGTTACGTCATATCATTCAAGCTCTTAGGCGTAGTGATGTGTTATATATAATCCTTCTTTGAATTATCAAATTTCTAAACTTGTGTTTTGTTTTTGAAACGTACCTAAGATCTCGTTCACCGAGATGTATGAAGTACTTTACGCTCCGTTTAAAAGCAAATCAATAATAAGTAAGGCAAGGTTCTTGTTGAGAAGACAATTTTATTTTGTCATTCATTGGCCATTTGGTCCATGCTCCAAAACTTGAATATATCGTACGTCTTCTCCTTGTGAGTTTTGGGCTTTACAAGCGTAGTCACCATAGTTTTGATCAGTCACTTGATTTATAAGGATATCGGCGCCATGGTTTGATACCTTGACATTAGTTGGTAGTGTATTGGATATTGACTGTAGAAAAAAATATATGATAAAAACACTTGTTTCTATACTCGTAGAAACATACATAGCAGTTTTCTTTTCATGCGTTATTTGTTAATCTCAATGAGGATATTTCCATTCTACAGGATACTAAAGTCAATTCATATAACAATAATCATAACTATCAATAATTGAATAAAATCAAACCATGTCAGTTTCCTGTGAGAATTATCGAAAGTTAGAATCATTCTATAAAGCTCACAGCAAACTGACACGAGTGAAATCAAAGCCAGAACAACAAAACTGAAGGTAGGTGACATGCCAGTATAAGATTCAGTTTATCAGATTATTTGCATTGAGTCAAGAAGGTGCTTATTTTGTGAGGGAATTCCCAGATGTAAGCAAAATCGAGAAAACGCAGAGATTTGGCCTATGTAACCTCAGGTAAATATCAGAGACGCACGGCTATGTTAAATGTTTATTAAAGTATTCCCGTATCTTGATATGATCGCACAATCCAGATAGTTGATGGCAATGTATTTGAAAAGGGATATGTTTGTGAACGAAATAGATCAGATGACGTTCATGCACTTAACGTGGTTATTTCGATTTTAAAGAAATAAAAAGAGGCGCATCATTTCAGACCTATTTGACAATCTAGGAATTTTCGTGAGTATTATATAAATAGTTCTTTTGTACTAGTTTAGTTGATCGTCTACCATTTTGATATTCTTTTGTTTTGAACATAAAATATTTTTCTTACTAGAAAACTCCACGAGATAATTGGAGTTGGGTTTCCACTCGCCCTACACGTGAGATGTAGGTAAGCTCCTTTACTAACATCACGTGGTCTAGTTACATAGATGATGACTGGCTTCTTCACTGAAATAATACACGTTATACAAGTTATATCATTGTTTACCATATGATACGTACGAGTCCCTCAGTTTACTGCCATTTGTTCTTTTGAAACCATGCAATCTTGAAAATCATGAAATGAATTACTTTTATCATAAGTGAATCTCCTTATCCGTTTTATTGATTGTGGTTTGATTAATACATTTGTCTTATTACAGCATATAATACCTGTAATATCAATAACGAGTCCTAGTATGATGAGGCAGCTGTACAATACTAAAAACTGACTTTATTACATCTGAATTATTTTCAAAAGATAAAGATTGAAGATAAGGAAGTTTTACGGTCGTTATATGGATCGCAATGTGTTTGATATAAGTTCAATTTCTTTGAGCGACATGACGCTGGACGTATTTGATGCTCGTTACGTTATCTGTTGGTTCCGTTATCGTATACTCCGTTCTCATTTAAGAACGTAACATTGCCTACTTCGATTGACCATGGTTTACATGGCGGCTGTCGTCGATAAATCAGAAGACGTTTACTCTTCTAGAACACCTGGTCCTATTCTTTTTGTACTTTTTCAGTCTGGGTTAATATTTAACCTAGTTATATTGACTTTGATTTAGGACTATGACTATATTGACATGTTGGTTTTTTTGTACTGAAGTGCGAGTGCTTAAATAAAAACAGGGAGGGAGGGAGGGAGACTTGCAAAAGATTGCACCGAAGGCACAAAATAAAAAAAAAAAACAAACAAACAAAACATAAATAGTTTTCATTGATCTTCTATGTAAATATATATCTATACAGAAGTCAACATCAGTCATCTCACAAACACGCTTGTTTATCATGGAAATCACTTGCAATATTGTTGTGATATTATCTTGAAAATCGTCATCGTTATAGAATAATCAACAGCATCATAATGCATGCACGCAGTACATACATAAGAGCATACATTTATCATCACCTTCTTATCATGTGAATTTATAATTTGGTACATAAGTGTCAGAAAATCAATTATACTGCATTATTCAGCTGTGTGGTCATTCTAGGACTCCTCGGTCATGATACTTGATGTCAATATGAAGGGATTGCGGGCGGACAGAATAAGAAACAAGACATTTATGACGTTAGTTCATTCTCTGCCACCCAGATTGCTTTCATACTAACTATAAATGCCATCGTATGATCGGTTTAATGGTTAAAATATAAGGTCAGAATATCTAACTTAGACTTCTATCACAAAGTATGTCAATGTTAGATGTGACGTCATCAATATAAACTATGATTTCATGTGAATATAGTGTAACTGTTATTACACAGCTGTAAGTTTATTGAAAAAATATCATTAAGACCTACCACGAGCTTACAATCATAAATAGTGGACAAGTATTTCTTACGTGGTGGCAATGTAGTGGTTAACGGGGTGACCGTTGTGGAAGCTTCAGAATGCCAACGTAAATAAAAATGGAAAAAAACTGTTCAGTAGGTGATATTAGATATATACAACACACATACAGCTTAACACAATTTCGAATATATGCAGGAGATAATGTCGTTAAGTTTCGTCAGTGATTCTTGGGGGCATACTTTATGAAAAAAATAAGCTAGTGAAAAATATCCAAAGTAATGGAAAGAGATGTCGTAATCTCGATGGGATTGGAGCACAAGTTACATAATTTTTGCTATAGTTTCGTTATCTTAATTTACCTGGCGAAGCACAGTTGTTGTTACAGAGGTTATCTTTACAACACTTGTGACAGATTGAGGACTGCCTTTTACCAACCACACTATCGACGGGAACAACGGGTACTTGGCAGTCCTTTTGTAGGGCAAGATATCAATTCATTGCAATTAACAAACAAGTTGTTTTTGTTACAAGTTCATAGTGGTTAGGAAAAACTTAAAATCAGTTAATTTCTTATTAATAATCAATAAACATATGTCATGATAAAGTCAGCATGTCGAAAATGTATTTAGATGATAATGACAAAACTACCAGACTTTGTACGTCATCAATGTAAAGTACATAATCAAATTAAGATGTACTTATAGAACAATTCAGTATACTTGTACTATGCATGTAAAACGGTCAATCTACGAACTGACATACCAAATTGATAATGATTTAATATTATCCTATCGCTATATTATAGGTAAAGTTTGATGTTTGGCATAGGAACCGACCATGAATAGAGAAAGCAAATTCATTGTTCGTCAATCTATAAACTCACAATGATTTATGTGGTTAATACTTTCTTTGAAAGGAAACTTGCCGAACTCAGTGATTCCGTATCGACTTTGCATCAACAGATGACCAACAGAAAAAAAACATATTCACCACTGTTTCGTGTCCACACCGACTTGTCCATATACGAGAACCCGATAGGCCACTGATTCTCTCTCCTATGTAACATTGCTAACAACAAAAGAAACATGATACAACATGCAACAGGTCGGATATGCGTATCCACTTAAACATAAGCAGACTCGGGTGGTAGGATGAATAACCTCCTTGACTTTCTCATCCCATGTAACAACATCATGTATAGGGCAGGTCTTGACTTTCTCTCCCCATGTAAAAACAACATATATAGGACAAATCTTGACTTTCTCTCCCCTTGTAAAAACATCGGATATTGGGCAGGTCTAGACTTTCTCTCCCCATGTAAAAGCATCATGTATAGGACAGGTCTTGACTTTCTCTCCCCATGTAAAAGCATCATGTATAGGACAGGTCTTGACTTTCTCTCCCCATGTAAAAACATCATGTATAGGACAGGTCTTGACTTTCTCTCCTCATGTAAAAGCATCATGTATAGGACAGGTCTTGACTTTCTCTCCCCATGTAAAAGCATCATGTATAGGACAGGTCTAGTCTTTTTCTCCCCATGTAAAAGCATCATGTATAGGACAGGTCTTGACTTTCGATTCCGATGTAACAACCTCATGTATAGGACAGAACCTGACCCTGACTTTCTCTCTCCTCTCTATGTGATTACCTCATGTATGGAGCAGGTCCTGATCTGTTCACACTGGTCAGGGTTGTGCATGTATTGACAGTTGTAGCAGATTACCAATCCAGTCAAATTCAATGCTTTAGAAACCAATATCATATAGCAGTAAAGAAAAATATACTCAATCCTGTTAGATTGTTATGGAGACAGAAAAAACGTTATTTAAAAAAAAAAGTTCCCTTTCGAGTTAGGTATATATTCTTTGATGACCTCTGATAAATTTACTCCATGGTACTATGCATATACCTACTAGTATTATATATATATAATCGGTTTAACTTCCTCCTATTGATCAGACGAGAAAAGTCAGAGAAATGAGTGGAGAGGAAAATGTATAATGCAATGGGAGATAGTGTCTAAGTAATATTTAGACAATAGAACTTTACTAAGTCTTTACAAATTTAGGACGTAATTTATATGGTGAATGGCAAATAAAAGTATATTCATTGAATCTGATTACGACTAAGTTATAAACAAACTTGAAATAAACAAAGTGGATCTTTGTATCAGTTGTAAATAACACTATAGAACAACAATAAACAAATACAAACTGTTAAAATACTTCTGTGTTACTCCCCCCCTCCCACACACACATAGGCAATACACAATTGACGGTTTACCCTGACTACCAAAGTGGCCATTGATGATATTGCAAAGTTTTGTGTCATTACAGCATGACGAACGCAATGGGATATAGCCATTTCTTTCCATCGAGGAGGATACACGAACATCTCTCTTCCCGATCCCAAGACAAGACTTAAAAGTAAAACACATCCTTACAAAGGCGTCAGAGCAACACATAACTATAGTAAAACAAGTAAGGTTTACAAGAAGTAAAAAGTTTCTATCCAATATATCGACATTTGTATCATGTTTATTAAATATTATTACAATTAAACGTATCTACCATGAAATTCTTGATAACGTTGGTGTATTTATTTCAATCCTAGCAATATTTGTATACAGTATTTTGCAAGAACTTCCATTTCATATGTGATTTATGAAATGAATCTTAGAATATTTCGGTTTACCATCCTCAGGCGTGGTTCAATGAACAATGTGTGACTTATTTTATAAACCCCATATAAACATGACAACGAATTTAGGCTTCATATTATCACAGAAATTCTATGTTTTCTAGAAAATCACCATTTAATAGAATTTCACTCGATATTTCTTCCTATGGTGCGTCACGAAACATGAGGTAATCAAATACTTTTTTCATAATTGCACATTTATTTTTCCGTTTATAATATTGTTCCGTTAAGTTGAATCATAGATGTGTCTGCTTAAAAGTGATAATTAATTGGTCAGGAAATGATATCAAATTTACAAATTTATTCAACATTTCACATTAAACGCTTACTCGCTGTAAAAAATTAAACAACATTAAGTCAGTATTCGGAATTAGTTATATGTATATGAACATGTACGTACGTGAGAGGACCGACAACCGACGTCATAAAGTATGTGTCCCGTAGCAGTAAGGTACTCTTCGACACTGCATTGCTGATATTGAGTTCAAATGAACAATTAGTCAGTGATAACATTCATGAGGTCATGAGTGTCAGGTCACAAGACATCAGTATAAATTAGTAATTTTGGCGGGATTTTTATTTTTCTAATCATACTTATTATTGTCTATCCGTAAAGAAATTCGTGTCACATCTGAAAGATCTTGAGTCCTTAATCTTAATCAGAGAAAATCTCCTTGCCAAGATATAACACATCTAAACTGTGGTTAATTAAATGTATGTTTTCAACGAAAACTGCTTAAAAGAATTGATTTCTTGGTCTATTTCTCTCTTTAAATGATGTTAATTGCGTATAAGACTCGTGACTATACCTGATCGTTTGAACATTCTGTTACTGTGTCACAGTCCCGCGGGTCAATTAGTTGTGTACAGATGCCGCATAACTGACCTCCGTCTGTATGGATGTAGCAACGTATCGTCAAACCGTAGTAATACGTATTTAACTGTATGTCTCTAAGTTGGGAAATATTCAAGAAATGAATATATAAATATATATATATATATATATACTGTTTTTGTGTCTTAATTGTAGAAACTGTAGACTGATACCTACTTGAAAACAATTATTTGTAGTAAAAACGGGAGAAATTGATAGAAAAGAGGATAAATTCTAACTGAAAAAGAACTGACAAGGATATCATCTACCATATGCTCGGACAATACAATACCTAGTTTATCAGGATATTATTTACCAGTAACACGGAGAATAGAGTGCCTAGTTCATAAGGATATCATTGACCAGATACAAAGAGAATAGAGTGCCTAGTTCATAAGGATATCATTGACCAGATACAAAGAGAATAGAGTGCCTAGTTCATAAGGATTTCATTAACCAGATACACGGAGAATAGAGTACATAGTTCATAAGAAAAATACAGTCTTCTGTTTTATTAGCAACATTCATTGTATGATTCTAGAAATTTTATTATTCGAACGCCATAACAATTATCACGAATATCTGTTATTCATAACAATTAATGATAACATGTCGTGATGTTTGCTGTTGCAAAAATCGTGATACAAGTAGTTTATAATGGCTTGTGTTTTCGTTCACGCTGTATGCATACAATCTGTAAATATGTCCAATGAAAAAACAAACCCCTCACAGTTTTCGGTTATAATTCGCCATTTAAAAAATAATCTAATCTCATTGATAAGAGAAAATCCACACAAAATCATTCTGATTATAAATCTTTTTTGAAAAACATATAATAATTTTTATCAGTTATGAAACCAAATCTTACCTGAGAAGTAAATTGCTCCGAACACGCAAACTGATAGAATCAACCTGTCATGGGTAAGATATTAATGAAATACAAATACATCGTTTCTTATGTACACAAGGATCTCTTAAATTTCCGTACAGGAATCAATGCACACTGTATAATATAAATAACACCCTGTGGTGGCATACGTAAATATCAGAGATTTGTTATTACGATAATGCCAGATGTTCTTATATATCGAAAGCTGACCCAGTTAATTAAATGAAGATTGATAGACCATGATTTGTTTTAAGTAAAACAACGAGATAAGATAAATCATTTTAATGATTGAAATAAGGTAAATCATTTTTGATGATTGAAATAAAAATTTGAATGTTCCCTTAAAAGGAGTCAAGTAATTATTACACGATTAACTGGTTGTTACAAGAAATTATGATACCATATGTCTTATATGGACAATTATGTCACTGGGTTTATCTGAAATTCTCGAATCCGATTTTTTTTCTATAAACAAACATCAAAGTGTTATTGGGCAAATGTAGTTTTTGAATGAACTTATGATTGTGATACAGTACCTTGTGGTGTATGTGGAATCCATGTTACTCAGATAATGTCACTAATAAAGATAGCACGTCAGTCTAACAGAGATAAAACTCAAACTAGTAATTTTCAAAGGTGACTGTCGGTTTTTTTTTTCATGGCGACGTTTTGGGTTCATAAACACGTGACAGGAAGTTGAAGCAATATGAAATTCGACATCAAATTTCGAAAAAAACAACCTCTGAATGACATTAATGTGGAACCAAATTGATATTGCCAGAAAGAGCATTGTATAAACTGTTAAACACGAACTGTCCATCTGAATAGTTTTCGTTATTTGATTTTTGAAGGACGATTAAACCAAGCGATGGAACGGGTTACGGCAATACATTAGAATGAGATATTTTAATGACCTATTGTTGATATTCTTCAGATGGACACTAGAATTCAGATTGTTGGATTTATTCCGTCTACTATTGGCACAAAAGTTTCCACTTCTATAAAGGCTACAAAGTTGTACAATGTCTGTGACAACGACCTTAGTAATATGTTAGAAGATGTATTTAATCATAGAAATCTTCGAAAGTCGTTTCAAAAAGGCATGTGATACTAGAAATGTGCTATAAATTCAAATATGCAACAAAGCTGCAGTAAAGATAAATGAAATTTATCTTGAGATACCCATCAGGTACCATCAACAGAACTTGACTGCATCAATAGCGACGAGTTGCTCTTGGATAGAAAATGCCAACATCTAACATATTGGTGATGATGGAAATCAAACACATAATACACATGGGTATTTATACGAAAGTATTGTACAAGGCTAATTATGTATTTCGTCCCATATTGTAGAAATAAGATTTGAGATATGATTGTGCGACTCCTGTCAACCCGTTCATCAACATCGCAGCGTCGTAAAATATCGGGAAGTCAACAATATGTTACAATGTATACTTTGCATGAATACGTTAATAAGTAAAGTTTCAGGGGCAACATTAACATACATGTGTAATGACTGCCGTCGATTGATTAGCCAAGGCCAAAATGTTCTGTGAAATTGTGTAAACTCACATATACGACAACAAATTACTGTTTCATGGACAGACTCTGTTTCAGACCTATTCACAATATTATTATGGCCATAGAGGCGAAGTGATCTAGGAAATCGGTTTTCATCAAGTCATTCTCATACACCAGACGGCCGTTTCGTTAACATGTCAGCTAGTACATTTACAAGGTACATATCCATTCTTTATGTTGTAAATATAATTTTATTTAGAAAATCACGGATCTCAATGTCTCAAGACACATTTCTTACCAATAATTATCTTTTTTGTAGAATCTATGTTAATGTTTTACGAAGTCCAAAACATTATTAACATGAAAATTACGTCCAAGCAAAGTTGTCGAGACAAAATAACCCCCAGATGAAGTTGTCGAGACACATATCCCTCCTAGCTTAGTTGTCGGGACAAAATAACTCTCCCAGCTAAGTTGTCGAGAAACATAACCCTCCCAGCTAAGTTGTCGAGACTAAATACCCCTCCCAGCTAAGTTGTCGAGATAATATTAACTTACAAGAAATAATGAAAAAGTACAAGACAATAAAACAAAATGGTGGCGATAATATTGTTTTAACTTAATCTGACATGAAAAATTTAAAATACCAACATATCAACATCATTATCCAAACTTCATTCAATTAAATCATAGCAAACTGTAGAAAAGGAAATATTTCAAGATGACTCCTGGAAAAGGTACAAGAATAATAAGTCCAAGTGTTCCGGAAAAGTAAGCGTCTTCTGCTTCATCGACGACATCCGCCATGCCACCCTCGATCAATCAAAGTAAAAAATGGTCACGTTCTCAAATGAGAACAAGGTATACAAAAATGGAACCATATACAAAATAACGAGCATTAAACATGTCCACCTTCAAAAGGAACAACGAAATAAATTGGTTTGGTTATGTCGTTCGCGTCCTATCCACAGCTGCTACAGTCATTCAAGGACGGTCTTTCGGTGAGTACGAGGTAAATGTCTTTCAGTCTAACCTCTTTTTCAAACACGCGAGATCTAACACATTGTGTATCGGTCAAACGAAATTTAACGTATGTGGTAATTTCTAGCAGTGTAGCCTCTATTTAAACCCCACAACATCTAATACACATTTTGCTTTCAATTGGTTGTACCTCCCTTCCAAACACACTACATTTAATACACATGGTACTTTCTGTTGAGTTTACCTCCCTTCCAAACACACGACATTTAATACAAATGGTACTTTCTGTAGATTTTACATCTCTAAACACACTTTGGTGAATAACATCTTATGTTAAGGTTTCCACATTTTTAACAATTTTTCGTTTCAAGCAAAGCGAGAATTTAGTCACCCAGCATCCTATGTTGAGACTTGTGTCTTTTGCTATGACCTATTTAAACGCATTATGAACCGGTGCTGTTTTATTTGTAGTTAATCGGATGGCTTTGATGAGGAAATTATTTTAAGATATCGTAATATATTTCACTTTTGTCAGTCGTCAGTAAAGGGAATTATTTCCCTCAGAGAATTTTGGCAGAATAAAAACATAAGTATTATCATTCAAGCATAGCAGCTTGTAAGCAGCACATCCCGTTTGTTCAATGGTAAAGAAAAAACAAAAAACACATAGTTTGAATTGTCTGTTTATTACAACGACAAACGAGTGTACCTTTACCATTAAGCATCTATTCAACAACAATGGCATACCTTTTACATAAAACATTGTTCATCTAGCTACTATAGGTGATCATATTAAAAGCCTCAATGTGGATTGATTCTATAGTTAATAACCTACTAATACAAGCTTAATAAGATGATAGAAATTCTTAATTTGACGGTTCGATAAGTCATTGTCATTTGTCTACTGTATGATATCCCACAGTGAGGGCGGCTTACCTTGATAACTTAAAGGACATTTGAATACCAAGCTTGTTGACTATTTACTTAAAGAACAACATGAAAATACCAACACGTCAACGTAATCATAATCCAATCTCAGATTTATTAATACTAAGGCAATATATATATATATATGAACACGGATATTCCTGGCACAATGACAAAAACCAGTTGATAACCGTGGTATAGTAACCCATAGGAAACAAGGTTAATAATTTTGTATTATACTTTATTTGAATGTAAAACTTAAGGTATACGAAATCTTTCAATATCTTAAGAAAAGCAACATTGTATATTTTATAATGTAAAATGTTATCTGTGTAAAACAGAGTTATCGAATGGATTGCTGATGGAAATTAAGCTATATGAACCTATACATTGGATGATATACTTCCTAGGTGTCAGTATTCGCATAGGTTTGTACTATGAAACTGACTGAATAGATTCACACCACTAAATAAATACTCACAAATGCGTCGTATTATTGAGTTTTACATGCACTAGAAAAATACACGACTCAAAAATACAGAAGGTATCAAAAGAATTATATTAGGTAGTGTAATGTAACTATAATTATTAGTTAAGGAATCATCCACGACTTTCTCTATACGTTTAGATAGTTTGAGCTCCAGCAGGAATCTGGAACGACCATCATTACTATGATACTTGATAATGAATTCATATCCATAGAAAAAAGTGGTCACGTCGCTTGTGTGCTGTCCACATCCAAATTCCATTCCATCCACAAGTAAATATCCATAAGAACAATGCTTGGTGGGGTCGTCATTTTGAAATTTCACATCAATAATGGTTAGATTCACTTCCACTTCACCTATGACGTGGTACAGACAATATATGTCGTTATTGTCCATATCAGGAAATTTGGGGGATGATATATACTCTGTTCTGTTTTTAAATTTAATAGTTCCACCACAATCTGGAAATGAAGAAATTATAACTTATGAAAAATATCCCATTTCAGAATATATAAAATCTTTTTGAAAATGTTTTCGTCTTTGCGTTTTGTTCAATGTTTGTATTCGACATTTTTATCTCTATATTGTCTAAGTTATGGTACACTGATAAAGTTTGGATGTTATGGAAATTTCGATCGATTTAGCTTTGTTATATTTACTTTACTGAACTGGTCCTTTTCAGAATATTTCATTGACTTTACATATTGCCCAATTCCGTTGGTCTGTAAAATAAAGTCTATATTAAAATAACAATATACAAATCAGTCCAAATCCAGGAGTCGTCTTGAATGGAGGCCAGCACGGACAACCTAAGTTCTCAACGAAATCTAGTCCAGGAGTAAAGTTCTACGACGAAATTACAGACTTGGTAAGATTACAAAAGACCGTAGACATATAAGCTGTGGTATATAAATAAAAAAGAAACAAGAAAACACTGATGTGCGAACAATAAACTCACAACATTGATAAAAACCGAAACAAAAAATGATAATTTGTTTTCTGAATTTATGTCCCTATGGACAGCTACAATAATTTCACAACTGGCAGCATCCTCACTGAACAATGTACGAGAGGCCCGTTTCCTGGCATCCGAGGTAATTCAATTAAAATGTCTAGCCGAACGACAAATTCACCTCAGCATAAATCGGTCCGATTCTCGGCTTCATGAGAATTACAAACCGGGTACTAGCAGAAGAAACAATTGTAGACCAAAACAAAGATTATTTTTAGATAGGATTTCTTCCTCGGCCTCATACGTCTATACATGTGACCAAAGAGTGCATTATACATAGTAATGAAGAAATAATCAAATATCATTTGACCTCAAATGGTCATTGTATTGTAGTATCGATCTGAAGAAACCTTTAGCCATACTCCTACGTTATCGATATCGTCATAATACTTTGTAGATTTCGGATTGACCACAATAATTACAGGTTATGCCAAACACTACCTGTACCAATAATTAGTTTAGTTCCTAACATTGCTTTTTGCAGTGCAGTCACACATTTTCAATCTAATCAGCCGTTAAGAAGTGTGTTTTTCCAACAGCTGATGCACGACCGATGTTTATGGACACCTTACCCGTGTAAGGGGTTGATAAGAATAGCAGGATCTTCAAAGTTACCATTATCAAAGTCAGATCACATGAAAACCTTTCTGCTTAGTTGGTATGAAGTTACAAATGAATTTCACACTAATAACTAAGCTGCCAAAATGTTAATACAGTACATGTTGGATGACTCACAACTTCGGACTAGGGTTTTGTCCTCCTGATCCTTCTGGCCATGATAAGCCAAATATATACGACACATTGAAGTGGATGAGACAGCAAAAATGTGCACATTGTTGTACTTACGTGTACGTGAAGTAATAACATCAGTAGAGGCACTGTTAGAAGCCTCACCAAGACTTTCCATCCAAATCTCAATCACTGCACCTGGACTAGCAAGGGTATTGATGACGTAAATAAAAGTATCCTTGTTGATAACAACGCTATGCCAGCTGTTTTCATTTGTCAGCATGCTTTCACCGGATGTTAGTATTCCCTCAACCCTAGAAAAGTTCTTATACCGGAAGTTAACTCTATATCCTATGACGTAAGCATGGTTTTGATTCGGCATCGTCCACCTCACAATAAGCCCATATTCAGAAGACGTCGTCCAGATCTGTTCTGGAGGGTCCGGGGCGGGTGCTACAAAATTCCGTTAGAATTACATACAATATCTGGACGCTCAAGATGATAAATACAAAACTCAGTGTGAACTTAAGATCTCTATAGGATATAAATGTCCACTTATTTGTCTGTTTTCTATTATACTGCCGATCTAATAGTATTCCTTTATGGTCGCCAAAAATTCAAATTTGAAATGATATATATGATTTGATTTATGTAGATTAAGGGTGGACTAACTATTTCATTTGTGATTCTTGCTCACGTGACAACTGCTATAAATAGATAGCAAAACATCACTTGTACTTACCAACAGCTTTGGCAGTAAGTATAAAGCCACTGTCCTGTATTTGTTCGTTTGTAACAAACACCATCTCGATATAATTGGTCTTGTATAAAAGAGTACTTTGTATATTTGATCCGCAATAACGACGTCCATTGATTTCCAAAAAGTCTGAGACACAACTAAGGGAATTTTCTAATTCAAATTTCTCAACGTCAACTTTAAGCCAAAGTAACTCATTTGTTGAAATTGCCCATTTACATACGACATCTGGCGGATATTCATCCTGTTTGTTTCCAGGGGAGATAATTAGCATCGTATCGTGATGTTTTAGTGATCTCATTCCGCCGCAGTCTTTAAAAAAACGCAAGAAACATGAAAATATGAATACACGATACAAAAATGATTCATATATTATAGTTAAAGATCATTGTATTTGGATGACAGCCTCTGCTCAGAAACAAATAACGAGCCATTTAAAGTCTCTGAGTAATGTGTAAATTGTACTGAATCCTTGCAGTACCAGAGCATTAACATACAACAAGATAAGTAACCGCTGACGAATATATGTATGTATATAACGAATTATAAACACCACTAAACCATACAGGATATATTACATAGAATTTCGTTTCAAAAGAATGATTTTCCATGCTGTCTTACTCGCCTTTCTGATACATAATCTACTTACTTACTTTGATCTCATTTTTATCCTAATAATATGTTATGATTTATTCATGTGATTATATCTTTCTTACGTGTTCTGACGTATATAGGTCTGGATATGTGACTTCGGCCGCCTTCGGTAACAGCCTGAATACCAATGCTGAATAATCTCCCCTTGTACGCACGAGTACTCAGTGTATACTGATTGGTGGATTTATTTACATTCAACTCTTGACCTTTAACATCAGGCATAACGTCATATAAGATAACATATTTTATGACATCACTGCCACGAAGTGAAGGTGACCTCCAGGTCAGTAGCATGCTGGGTCCAGTCAGTTGGACTTGCACGTGCTGTGGTGGTAATGTTGGAGGGGCTGTTGTGTAAGCAAACATAAACAATATTAAAAGTCCTTTATTGTTGTGGGGGATTTATTTTTGTAGATTTAGGGGTAATCTTTATCCGCAAATTCATATGTCCACATACGGATTCAATGCAGCTATGATAATGAAAAATTCGTATATTTACATAAAATTACAAAAGTGAATCTGTGGATCTGTCATTTTGCAACTCTTGATGTTTAAAGGAATGACAATTTTCTAGTTCTAGATTGGTGGTTGTTTTCACAATTGGTGGAATTTATTTCTTAACGGAAGGTTTTATTACATTTGTTGATGTTGTTGATATAAGAGCTTACTCATGTTTGTATCGTATAAATAGAACTGGTCATTAATTAACTTTCTTTCCATTGTCACTGTTAGGGGGAGGAAGTGGGGTCTTAAGCACAATTACAGGCAGATCAATTACAGTTAATATTTGTACACCAGATATAAATGATGTATTTGAAATCGCTCAGGAGTCAATACAATATTGCTGTCATTTAGAAATCTCAACATTGTTTGGTTTCAATGTAAATCAGATTAATTCAGTGTGGTTGTTAATTGATAAAAGTGTCATTGATCGGGTGGTTTAATCTTGGCCTAGTTACTGGGCCTCTGTCATTAATTCGCCGATTAATAACATTATTTTGTGTATTCGATCAGCTGATAGTGATACGTGAATCGCTGTATTTATTGTCTAATGTTTGTTTTTTCAGTTGATAGTTCATAAAGAGACACAACAACCAGAGTGTAAATATAAACTTTTAAAATTAGTCTAAATAGAGTGATCGAGCTTTATTTATCCACGATCTCAAGTGTCCACGAAAAAGTTGGTTTTGAAAAGTCGTGAAAATTAAACCCCATGAAAATAACTGATTTTACAGTAACATAAATACGTTTGCTGATATCTTATTTCATCTGCTATTATATCATATATATCACATGTAATATTCTACAGAACTCGTTATCATAATCATAAAACGTTTTTGTATGAGATCCTAACTACTGCTCACATAGGATTTTTGTGTATCTAATTTTTCATCAAACGTGAACATTTAACTGTCTACTCCCATCAAACCATCACTGTTAAAGTCAAATAAAGAAAACTTATTAAAACATTTGAATCACAATAGTTTAAAGTAAACAAACAAATATGGCTGTTTACATTAAATTGGACATACTATATACTGCTTGTAATGACTGTTTACACTAAGACGGTACAAGACACACGGATGAATAGCACCTAGTAATGCGAATGTATAAATCTAGATACAGTTGTGCCAAACTATGAAGTACACTATATCTTACAACTGCTTCGTCTGTCATGGACTACATCATACAGCTGTTTCGTCCCTGTAGGACACGTCAGTGATGCTATTTCATACAGCTGTTTCGTCCTTCTATTACCTAATCTATGAGTTCTTTTGACATAACCAGTAGAAGATTGAAATGTGACGTTTCGATGAATACATGGTCACTGACGTACGTAGTGTGCAAAGTTGAAGGAAAACAAAACGAAGATATGGCACTGCATTTCACACGATGATATATAAAAACATCGACGACACCCGCATGTAAAACTTGGCCAATCCAAGTAAGTAATGTCACGTTCTCTAATGAGAACAAGGGTTTTAGCAACAGAACCAAATTAATTTGTAATACGTACCAACTGATCTGACCATCAGCCTAAATCCAGAATATCTTAACCCGTCCGTTCGTAATTGTACCGTTACATAATGTCCTTCCATAACCAGAGGCTTATTTGGGACTAGTAGATGTGTTATTGTCTCATTAGGTGATGTCACTGAAATTATTTTCCGTGGAATGTTAAGGTCATATGATACATCAGTATCTATCATTGATATACTAAGAAAAGCGTTCGGAGAGGTTGACCCATCCCAGGTACAGAGGATATTACTTTCTGTATCCTGAGGGAAATTAGGGGTAGTCAGGATTATCGATTGTCTTTCTTGTAGGTAAAATTCCTCGTGACATCCTGAAATACATGTAAAAAATACTCTTAAATCTATGTTACAAAGTGGCAGTACATATTTGCATTATTTTTTGCATATTACACTATTACATATGTATATACAATTAACTATCTGTTGAAATTATTTACTTGATTATTACATATAATATCACTTTCACATAATAATCATCAAACCTTATATTAAAGTAGTTATTTTCGGGGTGCCCTATTTGTTTTTGCTTTTTCTGTGGATAACATCATAACATATACCAAATGTAATAGAAAAAATAATTTAAATAGATAGATCAATTAGATCAATCATGGCGCATTTCGTGAATTCCATTAGAGATTTAGCCGTTTTACTTCAACTGTTTGATAAAACTGAAAATTTGAACCACGAAATGTAACATAATTTCATCAATTCTGTGAGAATTTAAACTCCAGGGTTACTCCATATATCAATACCCGAAATTCGTAAAAAAACAACTTTGTAGAGTAATGATTTTTCCGGGATTTATCCCAACATATTTAACGTTACTATGGCAACATGACTAAACATATGAATTAATGAATTAAAAGAAACAAGAGAATACCAACATGTCAACACAATCATAATCCAAACTGAAATTCGATAAAATTAAAACAAAATCAAGAAAATTCTAATATGCCAACATAATCCTAATCTAAACTCAAAATCAATAAATCTAGAGCAAGCTATGCACAAAAGGAAGATTTTAAGGAGCAAGACCAGGTGTTCCGGAAGATAAGCGCCTACTACATATCTGTAAACTTTTATTTAAACATTGAACCTTTTTTAGTTGACATTCATAGCAATGTGAACGCGAAATAGGATAAGGGTAATGTCGACAGAGCACTTGATTCATCATGCTGAATTTGTCCTTGTCCAGGTGGCACTCATAGTGTCAAGTAAAGGCATCTGAGTACAGTTCAATGCATATATCTATCTTTTTCAATTTTCATTAAGAAATATTGGAAGGCAACATAAAAATTTGGTTACATCTTGTAATATTCCTAAGATGTCAGTAGTTCATGAGCTTATAAAACACAACTAACATTAGTACGGTAGCAAATGAAATCAACAAGTAAACAGACCCATTTGAAGGAAAAGCATGATCTACTTTAATACAAGAATCTAAAATAGAAACAATATCCGATTACTGAAATATTGATATGACCTGTTGAGGAAAACAGTAGAAAAATGGTGTGAAAATTATATCATCATGAATTAAACATGCAAACGTTACCTGATCGCATTATAACTGCCGACGTTCTATTGCTTTTCCAGTAAGGCATTTTTAGAGCTAGGGAAATGTTGAACAATTGACCTTTGTGACCTTTCACGTCGATATCGTAATGGGAAGTGTTGGAGGCCATTTGTTGTATGGTTTCGATCAAAGATGGTATTACATTATATATCACCATATAATACAGATTTCGTACGATAGGGTTCACATCTATCCACGAAACACGGACGACGTCGTCAATATTTCGTGCTGTGATGTTGGTTGGCAGCTCTAGCGACGGTATAGCTGAAAGCAAAACAAAAACTTATATAAAAATATATACACATTCATATTAAAAAGTAATATTCATTTCATCTTTTCTGTGTCGAGTTTTATTTCATTGGAATACCTTCAATAGTGAAGTTGAAATGTCCACCTTGTGATCTGCTCACGAATTCCACTGTGGTCACATTTGATGTGACGTAGAAGACATCTTCAGTTGATGACGTTTTACACAACAGCGGTTGACCCGATATGTTGATAAATGTTTGACAGGAATCATGCGGTAATACTACGTCATTCTGTGTTAATTTAAACCATTTATCCGCATCACCCTTATATGTCCATCTACATACCGTCATTGATCGCGATTTTTCTGGATAATTCGGTGACGTAATAAATGATGCCATGTTGTTTGTCATCCTGTGTGTAGTACCACATGCTGCAAGTTAGACCAAAGTAATTAACATTGTAGATAAATCGTTTCTTGCACAAAAATAAAATATTCCACTTAATTGATTTGAAAAATCTGTGTGTACCGTGTTAAAGCAAAGTTGGTTACAAACTCACGTGCAACCTTATCTTTTCCTCGTTATACTTTTCACCGCTAGGGCTGCGCTGATTGCTATTTATCTGTTCAAAATATATAAGACATGGTAACCAATCAAGGCCATATTCATGTAGTATAACTTTATCGAGTAGCTACACATAACTTACCAGATCTCACAAATCTTGTGGCTAAATGTTTGCCGTTTCCAAAGAGTCTGATAAAAAATAGCATGCCAGGATAGGAAGAAGTAGATACATTCGCGTGAGTTGTTTCCCTTTTCAGTTGGATCACTGAATGTGACGTAGTACCCATAATTTGGTAAGTGAGAAAATTGTTAGGCACGCTAGAGTTTCTTGATATGTTCTCAATTGGTGTCCACTCGAGGTATAAATACTCGGGGTGTACCCATGTCTGTAGAACTGTAGAGGTGTCCTGTAATCCAGTCACATATCCTTGAAGAGTTGCCGAAAACTTATTAAAACACATTTCTTAATTGATAAGATATTGTGCCACAGAATCACTTAGTGAAAAAAATTATAATTTCCCTCTCAGTGGTAGTTGGCTAACACTGCAGAAAGTACCTTACAATACATCTGTATATCTGCACGGATATCTGATAAACATCTTACACATACAAAACATACAGCATTTTAAACGTTGATAGATACAAATGTTTTCTCGTCATGTACAAATCGATATTAATACACACATATATATTAAATATGGAATTATCGACCTTTGAAATATTGATTAAGTTTAATAAGTACGTATATTCATCCAAAGAAGAAAAAGCCAAAAAATCCTTTAATAATTTAACAAAATTATATCATTTGTTTATAATAGTTATTTCTTTTCCATATGTCAGTATGTTCTTTTAAATATGCTAAGAGAGAGAGAGAGAGAGAGAGAGAGAGAGAGAGAGAGAGAGAGAGAGAGAGAGAGAGAGAGAGAGAGAGAGAGAGAGAGAGAGAGAGAGAGAGAGAGAGTAAAATAAAACATTTTGAAATATAGAAATAATAGCAATACCTTACCTTTGTAGCAGAAATGAACAGCAAGACAGATATAAATATAAGATGACATGGAATATCTCAGGTACGACATAGTGGAGAAATGAAACCGAGACAGTGTTTTAGCTGATATCTCGACCAAGCGGCAGGTGATATTTCCTTACGATATGAGATATCTCGTCTCGTATTGATTATAAAAAGATAAGGCTAAAGCGTCCTAGACAACGTGTCTGAGGCGATCATTTATCTACCTTATCCCAGTCTAATTCATAATGGAGTGTTTTGTTTTCTTTTAATTTTGACTCGAATATTGAAGTGAATAGCATCTGTTGATAATTTAGATTTAGGTACAGTACAGCCAATCAGTTATGTAAACTGTATCATACATTTGTTTCATTCTTCTAGGAATCGTCAGTGATGCTTAATTTTGAAGGCGACAAAGAAAAATCCAAAGAGATCGAAAGGAAAGTCAAAATAAGTGTTATTCACATGTGATTCTTAGGGATAAGAATTTTTATATTTTAAGCCCATTTTGTGAAATCGACACCGAAATTATGTTCGTTTGTAATGTGGTGTTTGATTTTTCCTTTTTTCATAACTGTTGTCAATATATATTACGGTATGTGACAAGTATGTAACAGGCTGTGAACTGCAGGTGTAGAATATATCAGGCTACACCAGCATAAACTAAGTCCATCCATCATGGTGAAAAATGTGACATTCTGTTCCTCATCAAATTCCGGGCGAGTTCACATGAGCCAATCCACACTCACAACAATATCAACGCATTTGAAATTATACCATAATTTATTTGTATTTTATATGGTAATAAATTCATACCGTTATCAAATTGCATACAAAGCTTCAACAGTTTGACAAACATCTGACGTAAAAATAAGACATTCTATAAAAGTGATATTTTAAGACAACCATAAATAATCATATTTAAAATATTACATTCATTGTTGTGACTGGCCGCTCAGTTTGTGTGTAATATTAATGTATATATGACAAGTCATTCACATACAATCCACCTTTGTTCACAAACAGAAATGAACTATGATTTTTTATATATAATATCAGCACTAGAAAGGAGTAATATTCACTCCGAAACTTCAAATTAACTGTAAGCACAATCATAGTAGAAAAAAAAACATAGTCTACAATTATTTTTATCACTAGATAAACAATCATTCAGATTATTGCTAAAGCAATACATGTCCCCTGCTGGCCCCAGGAGCTCTTCTTACACTTTAATCACTTATAAAAACGATGTTGTTTGGATTTTATTTGTGATAAATAAATAAAGAGAGTTCTTTAAATAATGTTAATGTAATATATAATCATAACAATTTGACAATACTGGTTCATCACTGGTGTTTTAAAAGTGTGAAAGATGAACATCATCTCAAGGATCAACTAGACTTTCTTAAGAAAGTAACCATGACCTTTATCATGACACAACAACAACCTTAAAACTCAACATTGTCAAATAAATTTTGAGTCTGTATATGTGTATGAGGTTTGATGAGAGTCCCTGTAGGAACGAAAACAGGAAAATACTGACAATGAATTTTAAATAGTAACGGTGACCTTGGTATATGCCAAATTATTCTTAAATTCAAATTTTACAAGATATTTTGATGCTTTTTAAAGGTTGTGAAAGAATCTATCACGAAATTAAGCTACTAAAGCGCTGACAACGATTTTCGAGAAAATAAATGAAACAGTTACAATGAACTTGCCTTGACCCAATAACAGGTTGGGGAATTATGAATGATTCAAAGATTAAATAACTCACGCACGCACGCACGCACGCACGCACACACACACACACACACACACACACACCACCACCACCACCACCACCACCACTATAATACTCGCTACAATATTTGCAATGTAACAGAACAGAGCTAACGATTTGGCTATGAACCATTGCTACATAAATCTACCCAAAGGTCACAAGGAAATACCAAAACATTTATAAAAAAAATAATTGAAGCGAAAATATGGATAAAAAGTGAAAAACTTATTTATATGGCGACTCCTTGAATTACAAAAACAAATGAGATCAACTGTTGCTGAGGATCAAGCGCCTTTAGTTTCACTGACCATATCCGGTATGTTGGTCTTGGTCAATTCAAGGGTAAGGCGGTTGATTTTTAGTATCAACTGACCTCATTCACCTTGTAGTTTACCCGAGTCATCATAACGAATTGTTAATAATGCACACAAATGAGTATCACTACACTACAAATTTTAAATCCGATACATCACAGTCAAAGACTTTTTAGAGTATGATTTTGATGCAGTAGAATATATTATACAATGACAGTGTTGGGGGTACTGACAACGTATATCAAATATGTAACGACATGAACTACACGACGTAGCAGAATCTTATAATAACGTCTTATTTGAACACATTCAGAGGCGATATTAATATCACCATGAGGTATCAATTGTGCTCAGAAGAGCGCCTTTTATATTCTTTAGCTATTGCATCTTCAGCACCAGTTACGTCGAGGCAAAATTCCCGCATTCCGCTAAAGAGTTTAATTAGCGTTGCATCTTTGCCCTTGTCATTCCTCCATCTTTCAAAGAGGTTACAAATTACTGACCCTATAGCGTCAGAACCTCTGCAGGTGTTTATAACAGTGGAGTTCAAACCAAGAAACAAAAAGAGAAGGTTGTACTTGTCACCAATGAAACGATCACTTAATATCGCAATCATCCAGTCAGTAGGCTGTGAATGAAGGACGTCCGTTGGCAAATCGTAATCTGGAAGACAGTACAAAGACACATAGGTGTATATATATAGTATAGGTGGGGTTGGTGGGGGTCACCGCAGCAAATTCTAATACGTCACATAAGTATGAGAGTGTAATTTCCAATACAAATTGAATAGAATAATTACTGTAACAAAGCTACATTATAGTTTTATTGCTGCTGTATAACTTTTCTGCGTTGTTGAACGAAACATATAGGAGTTAATGTTGCTTCTTAATCACTGCTAATTAGTGTATTCATAAACAGATAACCTGTCATCATGCCTTTGACGTTACGTGGTTACCATGGTCATGAGCAGGTTATTCATTATTGTTGTAAAAAGAATTGAAGTTTGAATGAAAAACAGAAATAAAAAAATAAATTTTCGGGATACCGGTAGTCGATAAATAAAAGCAGGCTGACTATCATGTGAATCATTATATATATATACAGTTAGAAACAACTGTCACGATCAGTAAACCACAGTGTATGATAAAGGGGAAGTCTGTAACCACCAGATACCATGGTAAGATAGGGGGAATGTCATGAAATAGCAATACAATACAATAAAGATAAACTAATCTCAAATTCTTCATTTAGCTATTACTTAAGTAGGAAGATAACATTGATATTGCTTGATGATAATCCCCATCTTTACTCTATGGTACATTTTACGTTAACTTTTTCAACATTAAACCCTTATCCTTCATTATATTCTTTATTGCATACCCAATACTTGATAAAGAAGTATTTTTACATGTAAGTATAACACTTACCTTTGTCTGCTTTCTCGTTACTCTGTAAAAACAATATAAAAATAGAGCAAAGAGTCAAATTTGTATTGATTATGAAATGTTTCGTTCAATAGTTGTGATATCAATATGATTTATGAGGATTTTAAAGAGCAATATGCAACAACTAATGAGTCAGGTTTATCACTTTTTAACAATGGCTTTAGAACATTGCGAGAATACAGGGTTTATTGGCTGAGGTTTCTCACTCTTCTGGATTCTTGCAAAGAAGAGATGAGAAGTTTTTTTAATTTCTTTTCCTATGTGTTCAATTTCCGTCTTATTGTACCTAACGATCTTACCTTTTCCGGATTGATCCAGGGTTCAACGTCCGATTTGTCGAGCGAATGTGTTTCTCCTGGGCTGTTCTCACAGCAAGTCACATTTCCCTCCTTTTCGATGTCTATGATTGGTACTGGACAGTCTTCATCGCAAATATCGTGTCGACAGTGTAAACACAATTCATATTCAAGGTTGCCATGGTGAAACTTTTTGAATATGTCTTTTAAAATGTTACACAGAATCTTCCGTACAAATGAGCATTTCTCTCCAAAGTGTATGTTTCGGTTCCGGCTAACAAGTGTGCAACTGACAACAGATCCTTTGCAACTCAGCAATAGGTCACATGCGCGGTTTAAGATAAAGCACGCGGTTCCCCTTCCCATTATAGACTTCCTTTCTTTATCTGTTTTAATCTTAAGTTTTGAAGAAAGACATCCAGCTAATAGTTTGTCGTATATTGCAGGCAAAACGTTTGATTTGAAAACAAAACACAATGTTTTAGATACAACAGCATCCGGATGAGATAATATCGCTTGGAAGAGTGGTGATCCATTTGTTGATTTAAGCATGCTTGGAACAATCCAAGCCAGTTCATTATTGATCTTGTCTACAGCTACAAGTGGTTGTAAGCGCTGCATTATTTCGATAAGAATGTCTTGATGAGTTTCATAGTATCGCCATAGTCTTTTCAGCAATCCTTCGATCAGAATGCCGGACATTTGAAACTGAGTGATATGAAGTCTTAGACTGTCATCGTCATGCGTTTCTACAAATCTCACTGCTTTAATAATGCAGCGAAATGCATCCACAATCCATTGAGGATGTGTTACTATAAACGATTCCACAGAACTTCCCAATTCATTTTCAAAAAATAAGATATGTCCTGTCAGATGCATGTATCTGTTTAAAAGAAGAAGAAAAACAGATCAGAAGAAATATTTCCAATTCTGTATATTTAATGTTATATTTCGTTTTGCCTTCAGAATATTATCATTCTGTATTGTTTGTAAATATTAATGCCCTGTTTGATATTTTTTTTGCTTTCCATTTCTATTAAGACTCATAAGAAAAATTCAAACGACTTTGTCAGATTATTAGCTGAATATAGTTACACATCGATCGAGTTGACTTGTGATCTGACAACGATCACGATAGGCTCCTTACAGTCACATGACTTCAACGAAAATTGTTTAGTTTGAAATCATCTTATAAGCAACGTAAGATAAGTTAAATCATATGAAATGCAAATATAAAACCAAAAACTACAGAGTGATTTTAAAACAATCTAAAGTTCGCATCACTATTGCATAAATCATAATAAAAACATCAAGAAAATACCAACATAATTCAAACTCAAATTCCATAAAACAAGAGCAAAATATGAACAAAAGAACTATTTACACGGAGACTCCCGAAAAAGTGCAAGGATAATAAGAGCAGGCGTTTCGGAAGTGTGAGCGTCTTCTGCTTCATCGACGACACCCGCCATGTAAACCTTGGTCAATCCGTAATGTCACCTTCTCAAATGAGAACAAAGTATACAACAGCGGAACAAACAAGCAAACTAACGATTATCAGATACGTCCAGCTTCCTGTCGCATTAGGAAATAGAATATTTCTCAATGAGATCACAATGGTGACCATAAGTTAACCCATAGTTTTCTTCTATCTGCATCTTTTGAACCTTTGTGTTAAATGTTTGTCGGTAAGATGAAGTCTTCTTGCACGGAAATCATGATAATGGGAACAGGCCCTTCAATACTGAATCAACTGTGACATGTAAATGCCATAGGTTGGAGAGGCAGAATATCCAGAATTGGAAAATTCTCAATAGGGAAATTAAAAGCATCACGTTTATCATACAACTTGATATCTTTGCTTTTCGGTGGATATAGATGATGGATATAGTCATTGAATTTCTTGTATTATAAACACAAGACGTAATCAATATATCTGAAGGTGAAAATAAACGATTTTGCAGGGAGTTAGTGATCTGTTTCGATAAGCTCTTCAATAAAATTCAGCCTCGCATTGGAACAAAAACCAGCCAACAGAGGGGCGAAGTTAGTTGCCATAGGTATGTCTTATAAACTAAATATTTTACCTCAAACAACTTTTCATTTCCTCTGTATCATCAATAGAAACTTCATTACGTTTGTCAATGTCGAGGACTTCAGAAAATCGCATGATGTAACGTTTCTGCTGTTTCAGCATCCGCAATTCGATGTCAATAGCCACCCATGTGGCTGGTATCCTTTTATTCCAGTTTTCTTGGAACTTTGCCGATGTCACTATTTCGTCCCTGATTCGCTGGATACTAGAGTCGTGTTTGTTTGTATTGTCAACAAAGTAAAGCTGAGTGCTGCTTGAAACTTGCTTCATTTTTCCCATCAGCTGAATTTTGCTTTTTTTTCTTTTTTCATCCTGTAAACAAAAGTAATTCTGATTAAATAATAATTAACGAACATGTCAACATAATCACAATCTTAACTCAAAGTCCAGAAAACATGGACAAAATATGAACAAAGTGAAGATTTCCACGAAAACTTCTGAAAAGGAGAATAATACCTGGTGTTCCGTTACTATCAAGTCAACAAAGAGAAAGAAGAAATAGTTTTTAAACAAAAACAAACACGATTTTCCCAACCAGCATATTTCGAAACTCTGTGTTGTTAGTTTTGACATCAACCGAGATGTTGCTAGGTGGACAAGTTCAACATCCGATAATATTGATAATCTTTGTAGAAGATACTTACTGAATCGCCTAGCCTGTCCAAATGGGATCCTACAAGTATGATAGGGGGAGACTTGTGTGACGTTTTCGTTCTTGTGAAGTTTGTTGAATACGTTCTGATCACGTCTTGCCATTTATACATATTGTCTGTCAATGGTAAAATTATAACACATTTAAAATTAAAATATCTATATCGATACAAGCCCTAAAATTATAAACCAGTTCCTCTATCATATATAGGATTGCATAACATAAAAACAGTGAGATAACAAAATTATTTTCATACTAAATGAAGATGCAAATGCCCTGTGTTAAAAGTAGAATCAAGTGCCAAGACAAATAATGAATTTATTCGTAACGTTTAAATAGAAAAACAAAAAAGATGGTGTTTGATTTTAGCCAGTAGTCTTCCTCACAGGTTTGGAATTGGGTGTCAGTCACCAAAGATTGTGTTTTATTTGAGCCAGTAGTCTTCCTCACAGGTTTGGAATTGGGTGTCAATCACCAATGTTTTGATTTGAGCCAGTAGCCTTCCTCACAGGTTTGGAATTGGGTGTTAATCACCTATGTTTTGATCTTAGCCAGTAGTCTTCCTCACAGGTTTGGAATTGGGTGTCAATCACCAATGTTTTGATTTTAGCCAGTAGTCTTCCTCACAGGTTTGGAATTGGGTGTCAATCACCAAAGATGGTGTTTGATTTGAGCCAGTAGTCTTCCTCACAGGTTTGGAATTGGGTGTCAATCACCAATGTTTTGATTTGAGCCAGTAGTCTTCCTCACAGGTTTGGAATTGGGTGTCAATCACCAATGTTTTGATTTTAGCCAGTAGTCTTCCTCACAGGTTTGGAATTGGGTGTCAATCACCAAAGATGGTGTTTGATTTGAGCCAATAGTCTTCCTCACAGGTTTGGAATTGGGAGTCAATCACCAAAGATGGTGTTTGATTTGAGCCAGTAGTCTTCCTCATAGGTTTGGAATTGGGTGTCAATCACCAATGTTTTGATTTGAGCCAGTAGTCTTCCTCACAGGTTTGGAATTGGGTGTCACTCACCTATGTTTTGATCTGAGCCAGTAGTCTTCCTCACAGGTTTGAAATTGGGTGTCAATCACCAAAGATGGTGTTTGATTTGAGCCATTAGTCTTCCTCACAGGTATGGAATTGGGTGTCAATCACCAATGTTTTGATTTTAGCCAGTAGTCTTCGTTACAGGTTTGGAATTGGGTGTCAATCACCAATGTTTTGATTTGAGCCAATAGTCTTCCTCACAGGTTTGGAATTGGGAGTCAATCACCAAAGATGGTGTTTGATTTGAGCCAGTAGTCTTCCTACAGGTTTGGAATTGGGTGTCAATCACCAATGTTTTGATTTGAGCCAGTAGTCTTCCTCACAGGTTTGGAATTGGGTGTCACTCACCTATGTTTTGATCTGAGCCAGTAGTCTTCCTCACAGGTTTGAAATTGGGTGTCAATCACCAAAGATGGTGTTTGATTTGAGCCAGTAGTCTTCCTCACAGGTATGGAATTGGGTGTCAATCACCAATGTTTTGATTTTAGCCAGTAGTCTTCCTCACAGGTTTGGAATTGGGTGTCAATCACCAATGTTTTGATTTGAGCCAGTAGTCTTCCTCACAGGTTTGGAATTGGGTGTCAATCACCAATGTTTTGATCTTAATTTTGATTTCGTTTTTAGAAAAACATATTTTGAACAGGTCACAGCCATAAGCATTGGTATTATTGTTCTCATTTCATAAGGAATCGGTTTATTTATTTCGATTTATGATTTTGTTTTCAAAATTCAGATTCATTTCCGTTTATTTTAGTGTCTCAATACGACTGTAAAACCGATCCGATACGTATTACTGTCACATAAAGAATATGATATTGACAAACGATATCAAATAGCTGATCGGTCGAATGTCCGAGGAAATCTCTGAGCAGGAAAGTTAATTTTTCTACGGTGGCAATATTGGTAATACCTGAGACATGTCCAAGATTAACATTGTGGCCGTCGACGAAGAAGCATATGACGCTTACTATTCAAGAGCACATCTCGTCAATTTCTCCGTTAACTTATTTAGGCGTCTCCCTTTAGATATTTCTACAGCTCTTTTTTTTGCCTTAGTTCTATTGAAATTGAGTTTAGGTCATGTTGGTATTTTTTTTGTTTTTAAAAGCGCCCACCCAAACAATTTTATACCGTAGGAATGTCCTTTATCTGTCGAAGGGAGCTCATTATCGTTGTTTGGTAATGATGGACAGGAAGATAACAATTCTCAAATCTGCTCTTCAATCGGAGATAGTGTTAGGACATATAGGTTATGGGAGATAACTCGGTGTTGTGTTATATCGATAACAAATCCTGCTTACCAAGATTTCTATCATCTTGTAGGCATGCTTCCGCATTGAAAACGATGATGTATACGGCGTCAGGGCTCATGAAGATATGATGTGTTGCCTCGTAAATTTCATCACCAGCAAAATCCCAAATGGAGAGAAAAGCGTCCTCGTCTCTCACCATACCAGTCGTGTTCACTTTTTTGAGTGTGATTCTAGTTTTATCCGAGTCTGATCTCCTTCTTTTTGCTGGTGGAGTTGGAGGACTATCGGATGCTTCTAAAAGATGTGAATCAGTTAAATGAACCGTTAGATTACACAGCAGAATATTGGCAAGAACGAATGTGTTCTTAAGTCAGGCTGACTCGCGAAAGAAAGGCTGACTAGTCCGCTTAAGAAGGCTGAATCGAGATAGAAATAAACTTGTTAAAAGCAGCCTTTCCTCAATGATTCCTGACACAATTTATAAGATCTATAACAGATTACTAATATAAAGATATAGTTAATGAAAATTAACCGTATCATCAGTAAATGAATATCATATGGGATATTTAGCCAAGAGAAATAAGAACAGCACTAAGTTTCAACTCATTCTGAATAGTTACCTTGCCTTGTAGATTTATTTGCCCTTAAATAAACTTCCGTTTCCGCCGTTTCTCCGGAAGTGGCTGGTTGTGGTAAATTTCTCCTTTTAGATTTATTTTCAGCTCTACATACCGTAGATAGTATTTTCGTTGATACGTTTTGTATCTCTTTATCCGACAACTTCTGCCATTTTCCTGTTTTCATGTCAACAATGTAATTTTGAATGAACACGTTTATTCCGTCTGTAGGAGCAGCCTCTCTCGCTTCATCAATGAGGTTCAGACACAGAGATGTTTTACCAACACCGACGTCTCCGACAACCATTAATCGGATATACTTCGGCTGTACATGCTTTGTCGCCATTGAACGTAGGAACATGTCTTCAGTGATAGTTCCTAACTGATGAATTTCGCTAGGAACATCTGCACAAAAATAGAACTATTATTTTGTTTTATACACAAAACCAGGTTCATATCTGGTTAGAAAAAAGTATATTTCATATAAAAAAAGATGAAGCGTCAACAGATGAATGAATAAATTCATATTTGCATTTATATAGTAAGGACCATATACGAGGGGTATTGGGAGATGAGGGGTGGATGGGGATGTTGTTGGGGTTATTTAGTTTCACTTACCATCCAACATTTCCCAGGGTGATGTCCAATCCTAAAAAGAATAATAATAAATGGTGTTATTTAATCATACAAAGACAATTTCACTATTCTCTATTTCATATGTGGCATAAAATACCAATTCCTTTCATGTGAGCCGGGCTATAATAAAATGAAAATATATACAAAGCTGTGTTGTGTTTGATAAATCGCTATTGAAATGGTAACGAATTCAAAATCCTGTTTTATACAGGAACACGTGAGACTGCAGATATTGCAGCAAGAAAGTTGTCCAATGTTGATCGTATTAATCGTCTTGATTGTGACGTCATAATACGTCTATCGACGTCACAATGTATCACTGTCACTTATGTTATACACAAATGTATTACACGAGTACATCAAGTGATTAAGACGCTATGTAGTAAGTATGTTTATAATAAAACTAACCAGATGCACGAGCTATCTACCTCGCCCTTCAAAGAAACAAAGCAATGAGAGCAGTAGAAATATCAAAAATATTTTCATTCTTAATACCTTAATTCTACATCATGAACTTGCCTTTAACTTTCGTATTGCTTTTTGCTGGGTTCCTGGGCACATGAGAATACCAGGCAATGGAAAAGCATATCGTGCCGCAAAGGAAGCTTTATCGCTACCACCTTATTATTTTATTAAACAATTTTTTAAAGCTCAGTGACAGGAGGATTGGAATACCTATACCAATAACACTCCGTTAAACCTGTTATCAGTGAATGGTCTCCATGCTATAGAGACAACCACCGAGACGAAGTTGGCCTTGCCCGTCTTCGGATGGGTCATACATACCTTACACATTCATATATGTTGAAAGGCGAAGAATCCTTGGTGCATAGGATTCGATGAGCCATTCACCGTTAAACATGTTGGAGTGCATTGACCTTCTGTCTACTCGAAAATGTTTGTGTTGTAACATTACATGTCTAAAATGTGAAACTGTTGAGATTTGTAAAATTCTACATTACCTGAAAGATGTTGGTCTATATAATAGACGATGACGTACCATTTTAATCTTTTGTGTTAACATACCCATTTAAGATTTTTAACATTTGTCTTTTACCTTTTGGTTTGTTTAATGTTATTTCCTTTTGGATCGCTGTGTGTTTTACCGTTTGTTGGCCCTTATATTGACCATTTATGTCTTGACAGGCCGTTAAGAATGTAATAATAATAATTTGTTCAGTAACATCACGCACACGTACACACGCACACATATACACACACAGTGTGTGATAAACATAGTGGAGATGTCATTAGATTATTATTTTTGTTTGTTTTAATTATGACGTCATAATTTCATGACATCATATTTAGTGCCAAAGAAAGATAAAATAGAATCGTGCTAGGGGCTTGTATTGTAAACAGAAATATCTCATCTCGAATTTCAATGGGCAGCATGAGGTTGGCAGGTACTGACCCCTCAATCTCTTTAACTTAACAGATGTATGTTGTATAACTTTGATCATCAACTTACAGAAAAACCCGTTACATATTGAACTGTGTGCATAGCAACATTATGAATGACGTCACCCATTTGTAATATGGTAAACTAATCACGTGACACTACTGTGAGTGCCATTGCGCCTGTGGAATTTCTTCCCTAACCATTGTGAGATAGAGCTACTTTACCTTCGTAAAACAACGGGGGGATTCTGTGAATTTTCTTTAAAAACATATCATAACTGCTATCACAAACAGATGACTTTCAATTTTTATAAAGTTTATCAAACTAATGAGGAGTTGTCTGTTTTATCCCGCATTTTATGTGTCACATGACAACAATCACATTAAAGTAAATTGAGGGCATCCATTAAGGGTTGTTGTCTTCTGCTTTATCATTAACTTATGAGAAAGACTTATACATCGTTGTGTTATTGTTCTAGACTTACTCTAGTCCGTAGTATTGACAAGGCAGATTTACACATTTCCTTCAAGTTCTGATTATGACACGTGGGTTGATCTGCGTCCAATGATTGTACAACCTCCAATAGTAACTGCTCTCCCTTTCCGTCAGCCTTCAAACACAAAACAACAAAAATACCAAAATATTGTTTACTTTCCTTTCCAGACTAACACTGCAAAACCGTACCATTCAACTCAACAAACTTTTCTGTATATATTAACTGATGCACTGGTTTTTTCCTATTGACGACTTTTCATCTTTTAAAATAGTTTTACTGTTGCCATGGAAATACAGTCAGCAAACACAAAATTAGCGTTAGCTTTCCTTTCCGGGTTTCGAAACAATCTCACTCAACTCCACAAAACTTTCTTAGGATAATGCCATAGTTAGTTTGTTCTTTCAGCATTGAAAAAGATAACCCTCATCACAAATGATAGTTTTTCTAGACCAGTGCTCTTAAACCAAAACTGTTTACACTTAATAAGCTGGTAGTATATTTTGCGCTCGGGAGGTTCTCAGAGTAAATACCTTTTTCCTTTACCATGGAAACAGAAAGGCCACGTCAAAAAGTTCTCTATTTTCAAAGAACAGTTCTCTTAAACCAATAAAGGTAATTATCAAGTGCTCAAAACGTTGTACAGGGATCGAGCTAGTACTTTAGTAGAAAATCTCCATTTAATTTCTCCCCTCAATTAAAGGTTACAAATATAATTGAACATTTTGTAATATCAACATATATATGTGATTCTTTTTAATAGCGGGAGATAATGTCACGCTTTTCGTTATCTTAAACTATTATTTGGTTTTCATTTACCTCACTCAGTACGTCATAGAGATGATAAGCTTCCGCGAGTTCCTCAGGGGTCGTAATCTCCTTTTCAATACTTTTGCCATTTCGAACCATTTCCAGAAAAGTGTATAGGTTATCAGCTGCAACCTTTCCATGCTGTTTCGTAAATATTGAAGGAATGCCGATTAATCAATTGATTTTCAAAAAATATAAATCACAGTATGTAAAACCGACGTTACGAATCAGAATAAACACACATACATACGCGAAGATGGCGGTTGGGCCAAAGATAGTTTCTCAGAAAGACTTGACAAGAAACAGAATTTCACATCACAATGCGGACAGATTTAATAGCATAATCTTAACTCTTAATGTTTCTTTTAATATGTTACCCATGTGATATTTTATACAAAATATTGACAATGATTCAAACGGATAATGTCGCAAGCACATACATTATTCTTTAAATCTTTCATTGCGCCATGCTTCAGGAGTACCTTTGCCTTTTTCGTCCACCCATTTGCTCTAAATCTTGCAGTGTCGAAACAATACATTAACGGGCTATCGCCATACTATGAAAAAAGACATCGTTAATTCTGATAAATGTAGCGTAAAATTCAAAATATTTGCTGGTTGTGCAAAACAAATAAAGCAATGAATTTATATCGTTTATTAAATTTTCTTTAAAATGTACTTTATGTAAAACATTCGGATTATATACGAAGCAAACTAGCTTCTGTGATTTCCCTTTATTGAGCTGTTTTGGAATAAAGGGAAATTTTTTGAAACGCTTTAAGATGGGAACATATCGTTTAGTATCATTTAAAAGTACAAGGACGTTTATAATCTCTATGATACTACAAAAGTCACATAAATGATTTAGTTCAGTAGTTAGGTCGAATAAATATGGTGGACAACGTGAGTTTTCTACATCAAAAATATATGTCTATTAATAAGTGGATGCAAAGTTTGAGCACGAGCAAATCACTTTTCATTTTTGATATTTTTAGGCAAAACATGAATCAAACTGGATGATAGGAAGTTTTCATTGTATAAAAACCGGTGTAAAAGTCCCATCAACTTCCAATTTGGACCTTTATTCTAAGAAACCACCCGAAACGATATCCAACTACCGTCATACTCGTTTTGTGCTATTGCGTTTGTACATGTAAATTATTCGGAAATATCCGTTGATATAAGTTGATTGATTGTATGTGTGAATAATTTATATGCAGAACCACAAATATTCAAAGTGTCAAATTAACATACTGAAATGTTTATTTCTCTACATATGAAGAAAATTTTTTTTTTTTTTATCTTTATGGACTTTAAGATTCGATAGAACCAACTAAACATGCAGCTGTTCCATCCATGTAGAACCCGTTGGTTATGCTCAATCTCAAAATTGTCTTTCCCTAACAGTCACAATACACCCCTGTAAACAGTTCATGGACCACCAATAGTTGATCTCGCGGTCAGTTTCACGAAAACTATGGCGGCATCCCGACATCACCAACGAAGGACACAGCTGTAGATTTGTAGGTCATCGATCAACATAAATAACATCATTTACACTTTTTGAGAGGCTATGTACTAATATTGTAGCCAAATTACCATCACCTTTTACTGACACCACAATATTTAAACATGTATCTCAAGAAAATTTCAGTAGTAGGATAGAATGAAAAATTTGTTTAGGAAAGACATGGCTACATTTCAGTTAAAGAGATTTTTTTTATATATATTAACATCATGAAATTATCTAATTTCAGTATGTAAATCTCAGATATTAAAAATGTCTTGGAGTTATCATTCTACCTTACCATATATATACAAGTCATGTCAATTTACATGATTCAGAATGGAATAAGGAAATTATTTACATTATTTTGTACGTCAGGGTCTGCCTTCTTCTCAAGTAGAAACGACAATACAGAAAGTACACCAAACCTAACTGCTTCATGCAATGGTCGGTCGTTGATCTGAAAATTACAAGACGTTCAAATGTCTACCAAATAGATAATTTTTATGTTAAATTTACATTTGTCAGCCTTTGTTTCGACTGACATATTTCTATATTTGCTTTATTGTCTCTTCTTTTGAAAAAACATCTTTTGCCAATAAGTGAATGATTTAGTCTAGGGGTAACTTTCTGGAAATAAGGAACTGTGCTACATCTACTGATTATAAGGACTGCAATGCAATGTCTATCTAGAGTGTGAAAGCGGTCAAAATGTCGCGGTCGACATTATTGTTTCATGTGAATACAAACACTAGCTAAGAAACTGACATAAAATAAATAAGTAGGAATGCTTAATCTGCCTAAGAGTCTAGAACATCTAAATGATATTATGGAAACAATGGATATGATGTAACTTACCTAACTGTCATATTTCGTAATCGTTTCACTACGATAAACTTAAATGTTATTTCCCAGCTTCCACATGTTTCATATTTGATGGTCACGCAGTATTATTCTGTTTTTTACCCCTAGATAAATTTTCATATGAAACAGTGCACTTAAGTGGTATGTTACTGTACTAAATTTGCAAATAAATGGAACAGTTTACGTACCATTATTACCCAAATATTATTTTAGGCACATATGGCTTCATAGTATATCAAATCAGTACTCTTTATCTCTTCTTTAAAGACAAACTTGACAAGTTATCTGTTCATATTTGTGTGTATTAAACAGGCTTGTTGGGGCTCAGATGAATGCAATTGAGGAGTGTTTTTTTGGGGAAACCGGAGTATTTATGGAAACCCAGAGTGGTCGGACAGGTGACTCCATACCTTTACACGTTCACTTGAGGTATCGAAACCTTGATGCCTAGCTGAAAGGCGAGAGGCGTTATTACGACGCCACCCTATATAAATGCATTAAATTGTGTATCTGAGGAATTTTTATATGATTTACATCATCATCACTTGTTAAATCAACTTGTCTATTTTTCTTCTTCATCAAATTGTAACCCTATATTTATTGTCATAATGTTTTTGCGTAGATAGAAATACTTGAGTGGAAAAACTTACCCCGTCCGTTGAATTTATATCAGCGCCTTTCTTGATTAACTCTTCCACAATTTCAAGGCTTTGTTTTTTACATGCAAAATGTAAAGGCGTAGCATGATACTGCGGATATAAAAACAAATTGATCATCTCATTTTCTTTTGTAACAGCATTATATTCAATTTAATGTGAACAAACCTATACCTTGAAATGCTCTGAAAGTTAGAAACAGCTGTACCATAATCAAGATTTTGTTTAGTGATATGTTATTTCGAGAATAAAAACAATATATACAAATATATATATATTTGCAAACAGTAAATGTACCTTTCCAAATTGAAGTTTGATGTCAGCTCCTTTACAGATGGTCTGTCTCAAGCCGACAATATCTCCTTTATCAATAGCATCACGTAGTTCCTTTATAGAAAGTACGAATGAAATATATTACATTTTAGTCATTCTAAATATTTCCCTCAAGTGCCTTGACTCTCAGATGCATTTAGCTTCTTAGTTATTAATATTCTTAGTTATTAATATTTTTCTATCAATGTAGAATTCTGTTATCTCCATGAAAAAGATTGTTTCAATAAAACCAATCAGCGCTTTCCGATGTATGTTTTCATCGAACGTTGAAAACTAAATGTGACCAAAATATAGATAAGAATAAAGTTGATCAAAATATATCACCATGTATATAACGTGCCATATATTCAACTAGTTATTATTGTCAAATACGTTAAACTGGAAAAGTTAAAAAAAAAAAAAAAAAAAAAACACACACACACGAACAAATGTCTCTTAAGAACTAGATAATTCTAAATTAGAGTGAAATGTGTTGTTGAAACGCAAATGTTTTGACGCGATAATTATCTCTTTAAAGAGACGTAGTGCTGAAAATGTTTTGAATAATTGTTTCAATGAGTATACATGAACATGGAAATAGGGGACATAAAGAGTAAATGAAGGGAAAACATTTTCTCCTCATTTAGACGTGATTGTTAATTTTATCCTTAAAAAAGAGAACATTACTTATGATCATGGTCACTTTCCGGGATGTTCTTAGGAAGTCACAACATGCGGAGTTAAATCTAATCGTTGAAGTCCTAAAACTGCTAGGATAACATATTTACGTCTGAAAGAAATGGTTTTGTATTTAAATTTTGAAGCAGTGTTCTTTGATTTCTCTGTTAGTGCATGTTGTGTAATAAAATGATGTCCATGACTCAAAGGTCAGTTTGATTGAATGAAACTGAATTTGATTGAAAACTATTTTTACTAGAAGGAAATCATTGATGTATGTTATTGCGATCCCAAGAAGCGCATATAAAGAGGTCAAATGGTCATTTGTTGAAATTTAAGAGTTGGGTAAGGGTAAACACATTTCTTAAATGTAAAGAGAAAGTTGAAGTGAACACTTTGTTATTACTGTTTTGACTTTTAAGGGCCCTGGTCTGGAGCCAGTTGGATGAGACACGCCATGACGTCATTTCAGATTGAGTAAAGATCAATGCATTCTATTGATTTTAATTACGGTGAACGTTAAGTTCAATATTCCGCTTTGTTACAAAGCCTTTAAATAGCAAATACAGCAACGTAGCGAGATATGACTGTGATTTAACGAAATATATGCATTGTAAGGTAATATTGCAGACACATGAATACTGATCCAATCTTGTCTGCTTTAACCAGTGCACAATTTGTATAAATGTAAGTCACATATCATTTACACTAAAAAGGACGTGAATGATTACATTCAGCGAAGCGTAGCAAAATAGTCACATATAACAGATCAATTATTCATTAACACCCGACCGCTAATCTTCATGTAATGTGCCAATAAAATTGCTAAGGCAGACACAATAGAACTGCCTGTCTGACACAAGCAGGTGTCGGCCTGACAAAAACCAGTTTACACTAAGGCAGATAAAATTAAGTTGTCTGTCCTAAAAAAACAGATTTATACTCTGTCATGAAAAGTAAAGCTGTCTGTCTGAACCAAACAGATATTAGTCTGACAAAACTTATGCAGACAAAATTAAGCTTTCTGTCTCGTCGGTCTGACAAAGCTATACTCGGGTATGACACAGACATTTAAAATAAGGCAGACAAAGTAAAACTGTCTAACACATACTTTTTGTACAGATTTACAGTAAGCATATAAAGTAATGTTGTCTGCCTAACACAAACAGATTTACAGTAAGGCAGACAGATTTACATTAGGGCAGATAAAGTCAAGCTGTCTGTCTAAAATAAACATATTTACAGTAAGCAGACAAGGTAATGCTGTCTAACACATACAGATTTACACTAAGTAGATAAAGTAAAGCTGTCTGTCTAATACAAACAGATTTACACCAAGTAGATAAAGTCTGTCTAACACATACAGATGTACACTAGGGCAGACAATGTAAAGCTACCTAACACATACAGATTTACACTAACCAGACAAAGTAAAGCTGTCTGTCTGACGAAAACAAATTTACACTAAGGCAAACAAAATAAAGTTAAACTTCAGTAAATTATAGTGCAAATCTTATGTCGACGTTATTCATTTATTTTCGCATAAAGCAAACAAAACTTATCTTGTGATTTTCAGCCCCTAGAGAGACAATCTTGATTAAAGATGAGGTTGTTTCAAAGTGAAAAGGCACTGGAATAAATATAAATGTAAAATTGTTCCGAGTACTTGGTCATATTGCCCAGGATCAGTGAAATCGTGAGCTACTTTTAACACTGGTTTTCAAAAGATGTCGATGCAAGTCGTTTAACATCCCGAGGAAGTTTTACGGTCGTCATTGTGATCTCATCGAGACATGTTCTATTTCCGTGTACGATATGAAGCTTGACGTGTGTGATGCTCGTCGGTTTGGTCTTATTCTACTGGTATTTTTTCATGAATCGTTCAGTGAATTATTTGTTTGTTCGTATGTCGCCCTTGTATGGTGTAGTTTAAATCATTGGTTTGCTCTGCTGTATTCTACTCTAAATAATGAAAAGGTGCTATTCACTTGTGTCTTTTGTAAATCGTATATCGTGTGAGCTTCTTTATGGTGATTTTGTTGATATATTGGTACTTGTTCATTCTATGATTTAAAACTCTACTGGTATGGCAGATTATTTCAAATGCGTAAATCACGATACCACATCATGTGGGAATGTCAAGAAGTACAAAATTTTTTACAAAGTCTTGAAGTACTTCTAGAAGCACTTGTTATTCCTTTTGCTTATAATAAAGAAAAATTTCTCTTTGGATTTTCATTACAACATCAAATGCTTACATCAGCAAAAATTGACAATGTAATACTAATAATTATTAAGAATTATATCTATAAGACTAGATGCTATCATAGAAGATTAAACATTAATGCATTTGTAAATTTTATCAAAGAATACTACTCTGTTCAGAAATATATAGCAAATAGTCAAGGGGACTCCAAAAAGGTCAGATTTGAAAATGAATGGAGAAAATGGAAGTCTTTGATAGAAATTGCATAATAATTTGTGCAGGTAAATATACTTCACTGTAAAATGAAAACCCTTAATAATCTATGATTTATTATGTGTCTATTGTTGTATGAGTTTTTTCAGACATAATGTATGTAAACATTTTACAATCTGCACTAGGATAACTTGATTATGCTGAAATAACTGCATGCATTATATAGACCGATGTAGTTTCATTTTACTGTGTAGTATCAATACTGTAGTCTTCCCTCAGTTGGTTTTACTCTCTGATGCTGTATAATAACATTATAATTACTAGGCCAATATAGTATATATATATATATATTTTTTTTTTCACCCTTTCTCTTTCAATCATACTCATAGTTTTCATATACCTACATCATAAAGCTTTACTCATACATGTATATATAAATGTTACTTGATGAACCATTCAATAGTATGTGTACTTAATACTACTTAATGATACTATCTTAATATTCATGATAAAATCTTCACCAGCTCAAAATTTCTCCAGGACTAGCAGACTTTACAAAGAATAAAATGACCTTTCATTGTGTATTTTAGATTTTCAATATACTCATATATAATTTTTCTCTCTTCCACTAGCCCTCTGTCTTGTTCCTTGCTGCTTGTCTCTTTTTATCTCTGCTATTCTCCTCTAAAGTGTGTGAGGGTTTCAAAATGTAAGTGAAAAAGATTAGAAATTGTTGGTGAGTGAGATACATAGATGTGATATGAATGTTTAGCCCACTATCACCCTCTCTTTTCTTCTCTTTCTTTTTCTCTGTCTCTCTATGTGGAAGGAAAGTGTGTGTGTGTGTGTGTGTGTGTAATGTGTTTTGTTGTGTATATAGAAATGGTAATTGGTTTTTGTAGACCATATTTTCTTAATTATATATCTATGGATGAATCCTGATTGCAATATTCTAATGCTGATGGCAACTATGAAGATAAGAATGTTGTGTAAACTAGGATATTATCTACAATATACTTAAGTTATTGATTCACAAATAGTTACAATCCTATACAGGTATGCAAGTTTCTGTGTGTGGAGTGTGTGTATGCTTATGTGATGTTAACTATACTTGTAAAAAATGCTTAAAAATAAAAAATTACAAAAAAAAAAAAAAAAAAATCACGATACCATTGTAATCAGCTTAGGGACACATGTCTCAGTAGAAAAACTGTTCTTGAATGTTCATCTACGTACAATATTCAGCTGTATTGCGTTTAAATTGTTTACTAAAATATACAATTTGAAGTTTATATCATCTGAACAAGGTATGTCAACGGTTTCATCTCTCATGCTGATATACAAGTCAAAATATTGTCATACCAAGAACATTCTCAGTTTGCTAGATCGCATGTCGTTTGCTTGAAAACATGCTTCATCAAGTTAACAATACTTGTACAAATTACAAAAGTGAATATCACCCTTAAATTCAAATTCAGAGTTAGATACAGAAGAGGCAAAACATGTAAATCGCCCATTGTCAGCTTGACGTCAAGCAGTGTTTAGTATTCAAAATTAGCATTGTATTGCTCCCTTTTACTCAGGTATGATGTTACATTTTCGTGTGAAATGACAGGTAGTTATATGGAACATCGAGAAGGTAAATGAGCTGTACTATTGACTAGAGCTGAAAATGTTTTAAAAAATGAGGACGCCATATTGCCACGATCTCGTCTGCTTCAGTGTTTTGAAAATAGAAAACGCAGGGAAAGCATAGAAACTTCTTATGACCTACTCATTGTATAGAGGGATAAATATTGCAGTATCAGAAACATCAGGGTTGACTTACCTCGCCAAATGGTGGTATATTGTCTCTGTTATCAAAATCAAACATGGTGAAGACGTGCAAGGAGTATTCCAGGTAGACGTGGTCGGTAAAGAGTGTATCAAAAGTATATCCGCAATAAGTACCAATTATCAGTTACGTTTGTTGTTCATTGTTTTGGCTTTTCACTACAATGGCACAGACATGTACTCACATTTATGTAGCATTGTGTAGTGTACACAAGAATGTTCATGTGTAATATGTACCAACAGGGTAACATCCGGTATGTTGTATTTAAATATAGCACCTTATAAATAGGTAATGAAGGCTATTATAGGATTGATTTTTTACTCGTCTCTATTTCCCCTATTGAAACCTGCCCCTTTATAGACCCTTGATCCAAAGACCCCGTCACTCGCAAAGATACCTTGAAACAAACCTTGATAACAAATACAGAAGATGAAGTGTAAAGATTACATCTATTTACGCTATATGGCTAAGGTCCACGGCCTGATGAGACCGACCGATTACACAAAATTGATTCCCCCATCACCCATGCATATATTGTCACTGACCAAAACACTTGTCAAAATCATATGTAGTTGGAAAAGCTGTGGAACTGATGATGGACGCTGCAATACCTCATTAGCTCACATTGCCTTGATTAAAAAAAAGATAACTTTCTATGGAGAATTTAAGAAAATATATATATGTGTTTTTAATCATTCCTTCGTCTTCACTTTTGAAATTCAGCTAGCTTTTATGCAGCGTTAACGGTTACTGATTTCACAAAATCATTAAAATGTTTGAAAGCTACAGAAAAAAATATCCATTATTATGCATGTATATGTGTATCTGCTGGTAAACACAATATAAATGGATGAAGGCATAATATGACAACCAAATTTACAGCTGAAAGATAATGTGGTATAGATAAACTTGTGCTGGAAGATATATATTTAGATATGAATGTCGCATTTAAACAGGTCGCATACAGTTAAGTAATATAGTGTAGCTACATGAATAAGAAGTTAAAAAGTTTTACAGGTAGGAATTTCGTCACTAATAGACCATATATAAACAGAGAAACTTTACACAGAGTACTTTAAATGGACAAGGAGAATATGACCAATTGTTCCTGAGTGTTGATGACACATGTTACGTAAATCTTTGAGATCAATTAGTAAGTGATACGAACAAGGTTAACAACAACAGACAACCAGGCATAAAAAATCTAACGTCATATTGAACATGGAAATATAACAGTTTCAGATGAAATCATAGTTTCTACCACAAAACTTCAACATAAATTACTCTAATCCTGGTGGATCTGTCCGTTACTGGTGTTTCACATGCTTATTAAGATATTAGGCATAAACCATTGAATAACAAATGCAAACACCTTTTAATAGGACGGGGGAAGCAGGGTGACTACTATATAGAAACATAATGTACAAAATAGAGAGATCTACAAAATGAAGATCACGAAATAATCTTAAGTATCCTTCATTTCTTAATAGGTATTTATAATGGACACTGTAAAACACGGTTTTGATAAGCTCTGTAATATATACAATGTTTAAAATCCTTTCTTCCAAAGCATTTGTATCTTTCGAGTTTATGTATTAAGCCCAAATGTCAATGCGGTTATCCGCTTCAATTCACGATTTACTTACACAATTTGTAGGTCATTATATAGTCAGTATCAAACATTGTGGAGGGGCCTTAATAATCTGGACGTGTTTGATGCTCGTTAGTTTGCCTGGTGGTGCCTTTGTTGTATGCATGTTTATTATTTGAGAACGTGACATGACTAAACTGATAGTCTTATATTAACATGGAGGGTGTCGTCGATAAAGCAGAAGACGCTAAATCTTCCGAAATACCTGGTCTTATAGTCCTTATGCTTTTTTCAAGAATGTCTGTGAAATCTTTCTTTTGTACACATTTTGACCTAGTTTAACTGACTTAAGTTTGGATTATGATGTTGATAAGTTGGTATTTTCTATTTTCCATGTCAAATTCAGTTAAACCATATATCTTTTTTGTTTGTTTCCTAGTATGTTTTCGTTATTTCCAGTAAGTTACTGTTGTGTAACAGTTTCCTGAATTCAGTACAACCCTGAAAACACAAACAAGACTAGAATTGCTCGCAGATAACAGCCTGCGAAGTTATTGTCATGAAGTTTTGTACTTCCCTATTCAATAAAGATAGCTATGTACCTTGTAAATGTACTAGCTGACATGATCACGAAAACGACTGTCTGGTGTAGGAGAACGACTTGATAAAAACCCGATTTCATAGATCACTTCCTGGTTGTCACCTTGACAGCCATAACAATATTGTGAATAGGTTTGAAATAGAATATGTGCATAAAACAGTAATTTGTTGTCGTATCTGTGAACTTACCCAAGGTCCGAGACAAATAACCATTTTGTCCTTGTCTAATAATTCAGTTGCAGTAATTAAGGACCAAAAGTTAGAACAAGCTGATTGTTGATAAAATCAAAGAATGAAATATTGTGCAAAATTGTAAACCATCGACATATAGAAAACGTTTATTGATAAAAAATCTGAGACACCTTTTAAAGTTACTAGCTTGAGTTTATCTCTGTTAGACTGTCGTGCTATCTTTGTTGGTGACATTATCTGAGTAACATGGATTCCATATACACCATAAGGTACTGTATCACAATAGTAAGTTCAGTCACAAACACCATTTGCTCGATAACTCTTTGATGTTAGTTTGATAGAAAAAATGCTAAAACAGCAAGAAAAATATAATCTTAATTCAACCTCAAATTCAATGATGATTATTTAAATTTTCGGATTCAAGAATTTCAGATTAACCCAGTGACATATTGTACATATTAGATACAACATATGGTATCGTGATTTCTCCTAATAACCAGTTAATCGTGCAATGTTTACTCTGGTCTTTTTAAGTGAACATTACGATGTTTATTTCAATCATTAAAATGATTTACGTTATTTCATTGTTTTAGCTCAAACAAGTCATAGTCTATAATTCTTCCTTTACCATTTAATTCACTGGGTCAATTTTCCATATATATATAACATTTGGCATTATCGTAATAACAAATCTCTGATATTTACGTATGCCACCACAGGGTGTTATTTATATTATACAGTGTGCATTGATTCCTGTACGGAAATTTAAGAGATCCTTGTGTACATAAGAAACGATGTATTTTGTATTTCATTAATATCTTATTCATGACAGGTTGATCCTATCAGTTTGCGTGTTCGGAGCAATTCACTTCTCAGGTAAGATATGGTTTCATAACTGATAAAAATTATTATATGTTTTTCAAAAAAGATTTATAATCAGAATGATTTTGTGTGGATTTTCTCTTATCAATGATATTAGAGTATTTTTTAAATGGCGAATTATAAAAGAAAACTGCGAGGGGTTTGTTTTTTCATTGGACATATTTACATATTGTATGCATACAGCGTGAACGAAAACACAAGACATTTTAACTACTTGTATCACGATTTTTTCAACAGCAAACATCACGACATATTATCATTAATTGTTATGACGTTCGTAATAACAGATGTTCGTGATATCACTGTTGCTACTACGGTCCTTATGAACTAGGCACTCTATTCACAGTGTATCTGGTTAATGGTATACTTAGGAACTATGTTATCTAATCTCCGTGTAGCTGGTAAATAATATCCTGATAAACTAGGTACTGTATTGTCCGAGCATATGGTAGATGATATCCTTGTCAGTTCTTTTTCAGTTAGAATTTATCCTCTTTCTATCAATTTCTCCCGTTTTTACTACAAATAATGGTTTTCATATCGGTATCAGTCTACAGTTTCTATAATTAAGACACAAAAACAATATATATAAATTTATATATATAGACATAGAGTTAAATACGTATTACTACGGTTTGACGATACGTTGCTACATCCATACAGACGGAGGTCAGTTATGCGGCATCTGTACACAACTAATTGACCCGCGGGACTGTGACACAGTAACAGAATGTTCAAACGATCAGGTATAGTCACGAGTCTTATACGCAATTAACATCATTTAAAGAGAGAAATAGACAAAGAAATCAATTCTTTTAAGCAGTTTTGGTTGAAAACATACAGTTAATTAACCACAGTTTAGATGTGTTATATCTTGGCAAGGAGATTTTCACTGATTAAGATTAAGGACTCGAGAACTTTCAGATGTGACATGAATTTCTTTACGGATTAACAATAATACGTATGATTTTTAAAAAAATTCCGCCAAAATTACTAATTTATATTGATGTCTTATGACCTAACACTCATGACCTCATGTATGTTGTCAATGACTAAGTGTTCATTTGATCTCAATTTCAGGAATGCAGTGTCGAAGTGTACATTAATGATGCGGGGCACCGGTTGTATGACGTCGGTTGTCGGTCCTCTCACGTACGTACATGTTCATATACATATAACTAATTCCGAATACTGACTTAATGTTGTTTAATTTTTTACAGCGAGTAAGCGTTTAATGTGAAATGTTGAATAAATTTGTAAATTTTGATATCATTTCCTGACAAATTAATTATCACTTTTAAGCAGACACATCTATGATTTAACTTAACGAAACAATATTATAAACGGAAAAATAATTGTGAAAAAATTATTTCATGACCTCATATTTCGTGACTTACCATAGGAAGAGATATCGAGTGAAAAGCTATTAAATGGTGATTTTCTAGAAAATATAGAATTTCTGTGAAAATATGAAACCTAAATTCGTTTTCATTTTTATGGGGTTTATTTGAACCACGCCTGAGGATGGTAAACCGAAATATTCCAAGATTCATTTCATAAATCACATATGAAAGGGAAATTCATGCAAAACATATACTGTGAGGAAAAAGAAACGCAATTAGCAGAAAGTTAATATTGTAAAGTAAAGCATTGACGTACACCCTTGAAACTTGACAAATGTGTGCATTTGAGTTAGGTCCCTATGGTACCGTATTAAAATCACTGATGCATAACTAAACTGCGCACGACGCTTGTACAAAAGAATAAGAGACGA